TCAAAAATCTTTTGGATGAAAATGATAAACTAAAGCTAAGAACCGAAACCATACAAAAATTTGACTCACTGAATGTCAACTTAAGCTCGGAAAATAAAATTGATGTTGAAAATGCATCTGAGCTTAATGAGGACGATAATATGAGTGAAATTTCTGTAGAGGACACAGTTGATTGTTCAGAATTTGTCAAGAATGAACCCGAGAACCACAAAAATCTCATCTCAGAAAATTCTGTGGAATTCGCTCGGTTGTCCCAACAAAAGTCCCCGATTCTTGTAGAGAAGGCAGTCGTATACCAAAAAGTTAGAACCACTCTGAATCAGGTGTACAAAGTCATAGGTGTAACCGAACATCAGACTGCTGAACTAACAGCTATTGTGAACGAAGACAATGCTGATGGCTGTGACGAGTTCTTCTGGTCGGCTCCCATTGACAATGCTGATGAAACGGAAGGTCTATCTGAAAGGACTTCATGGAAAAGCAAAGGCCACTACTAGAAAAAAGGCCTTTTACGACGCTCATTGCGCGTCGTAAAACGCTCAGACGACGCGCAAATGCGTGTCAAGGAAGGCCCTGTCATAAAGAGAGATGACTCGCTTTTGCGCGTCGTCTATAAACGACGCGCATTTACGACGCGCGGTTATGACACGCAATGCGTATCAAGGAAGGCCCTGTCATAAAGGAAGACGACACGCATTTGCGTGTCGTAACCTTACGACGTGCGTGTTTATGACACGCAATGCGTATCAAGGAAGCCCCTGTCAAGAAAGGCCATGTCATAAATGAAGATGACACACATTTTTGCGTATCAAGGAAGCCCTTGTCATAAAGGTAGACGACACGCATTTTGCGTGTCATAATTTTAAATATTTTTAAAATTATATATTTTTTGATAGATTTACTAATTTTCAAATTAAATAACACATTAAAAGTCTAATAATACAAAATAAAATACCATAAACACTAAGAATAATTCATTGCACTAATATGTCAAATACAAATAATCATTCCAATATTAAGTAAATGTAACACATTGCTAATATTTCATAATATTTATTATACAAGAAATATGAAAAAATTGAAATCCCTGAGATTAAAAGTACTAATAGAAGCTTCACGTGAGATACATACAGTTTTGACCAGTAAGCAAGGATGTTGCCGAATCCATAATAACAACACAAGAACACGTACGCGATATCTTCTGCTAGAAGTTGTCAATCCAAAACTATTGTTGAAGGTTGGCATGATAGCTATTAAGATTTGAGCATAACAAGAAACCAATCAATGTTAGGAACTCAAAATTTACTACCACCATTATCATGTATACTCTGGACAAAAAAATAAATATAAAATGGAAATGAGTCAAAAGTTTAACTGTTTGGGCTATTTTTGTGTTTTCTTTTTACAATTTAATTTCACCTTGATGGCATTCTTAATTTCTTCAAGAACTAATGGTATTCTTTTTACAACTTGGGCATATGAATACTTATTGGCAAATGCATCAACAGTGTCATTTTGGCCAATGTCAATCATATAAAGTGCTCGTTGAAACCCATCATCATTTATCATCGCACCTCAAAAAACTAAATTTACAAATCCCAAAATTGAAATTTTTAGGTAAGATAAATTGCATGATATAAAAATCAATTGATAAATGGCTTTTTATGGTAGGAAGGGCATAACCGTCATTCGGACATTCCTATGATAAACCTATAAAGTTCACATGAAAGCTCTCTCAAGGCTGTGGGCAGGTTTAGTTCAGGCTCAGAAGTAGGAATATCCAAATTTGGAATATCCCACTATCAGATCCAAGAAAAAAGAAAATCAATTATTGAAAATTTTAAAATCATATTTCACAAGGAGTGTTAATACTTAAAGAACACAAAAGGGTACCTTGGGCGCAAAATCTTTGGAAACTAATCTTGCATATCTCTATCAAAAGGTAAAAGCTTTCAAGTGTATGTGTCACACATGAAACAAAACAGATAAAGGAATGTGTATATATAACATGGCTTTCAAAATTCACTTGATATTTACTCACTTGAAGATCTGCAAACACTTCAAATGGAATGTTGGATCATTTTCACTGTTACATAAATTATGCTTTGTAGAATTACTTGTGCACATGACAAGTTAGCACATGAAATTTGTGAATTTTCGGGTTAGTTTGCACTCTTGTACTAAGCTGAACTAGTCTGCTTGGAATTAAGTTAAGCCCTTAGTAAGGATGAAAATACACTTCCATACCTGATTATAGGCTTTTACCTCATGGCATTTGGAGCCTTTATGAATTTATTATGGATTTTCGAAGTTAATTGATGCAAACAGTGGGCTGCATGGACCAGTTTGCAAAGATTGGTACTTATACCCTTAAAGGAATTGGAATTAGGAAAAGTGGTCCAAAGTTCAGTGAAACTAGATACACTAACCTTTCCAGAAAACTATACTTCATGATTTTTGGACAATCTGATGGCCTTGTATGATTTTTATAAGATAAGGACAGATTGCAGCAACGTGCTGAAACATTTCATGACAGCATCAAACAAAATGGGATAAACAACTCACATAAACTCAGAATCAGGATAGGAAAACAAAGAAAAAATGTAGTAGACATTCATACCTTTCCACAATGAAAACCCCATTAAAATTCTCAACCTAACACCATTGCCCTTTCTATGGCATGAATTACCATTCTGCCCTTCTCTTCTTCCTCATTTTCTGCTGCATTTTCAGAAAGAAAAAAAATGTGTGGTAAAGATGGTGAAAATCATGGTACTTAAGTGCTTCAGAAAATGATGCAAGAAAAATCACTCTAACAGAATACCAATTGAGAGTCATTCCATTCCATCAAAATCCTTTAAAAATAATGTTTGTTGGGATTTCTGCAATATTTCTGTAACTGCTTCATTCAAATATTCCCTAAAAATCTTGTAGCTTTAATATAATCCACCTTCTATTGCTACAACTGTTCTTCTCATTTTCCCATTTTTTCCACTTTTAACCCTTCTACTTGTAATCACTACAGTCCCATCCCTACCAATCTTTTTCAAAATTCCCCCAATGCCCGTTGCTGCTAACCTTGCAGCTCTTCTTGTCACCACATCACATATTTTCACCACCAGTTTTCTCACTTTCAGTGGAACATCGTTTATCTGATAATGAATTAATTTTGTCAAAAAACAAAAATAAACCCAGATTCAAAAAAGTATTTTTTTTTTTTATATAGAAACTAGGAAAATCTTACATTTAGGGTTTCTTCAAGAATCTTGGCAATTTCACTTGGGTTTGGGGTGTCATCTTCATGCATAGCAGCCATTAATGGTGTACTGAGTATTTTTAAGAAACAAAATATGAAATTATCTTTTTTGTAATCCCATTTGCTGAGAACTTTTTATCAATCTAAACAATGCACTTTACATTTCTACCCCTACATTGGTAAAAAGAGTAAAGAATTTCGTTTTATGACATACCTTAACATGAATCTTGCTGAAAGCTTAGAGGAAACTCGTCCAAAAATATCTGATTCTAATGACACTTTGTGAATTACTCTTCTAACAATGTCACCTAAATACATTCCCGATATCATTTTCTCAAAACCCTGTATTATTAATCACAAAAATCATATCAAGTAAAAAAAATATGGAAATTACAGAGTGAAAATTATCTTGGATAAAAATAATTAAATTGACCTGATCATTTGGGTTCTGACTTTCTGCATCAAGATCAATATCATAATCAATTCACTACTAGAAAAACAACCTTTTACGAACAAAACAAAATATACTGTAATAACAACTTACTGGTAGCTGTTATTCTGTTTTGGAATCTCTACGCCCTCCTCTTATGGCAAAATGAGCACAACCAGGATATTTCCCCTGTCTACAATTCCTCCTCATCAACAGTTTCATTTGCCAATATTTCATATAATTCAGAAATCAGTTGTTGCACCTAGAAGTCATCAACAATGATTATTAGTATGAGAATGCCTGACAAGGGTATTCTCGTGTTTTGCACCTTTTTACCTCAGGGAATCAATAAGTCCTTTAGGTATGAGAATAACACCATAGTTATAACCAAGATCTGCACGTTTACAGATTACATCTGCTATGTAATTTGTAACCTTTTTTATTGTCAATTTCTTTGATGCAACCTGTAAGAAATATGACAAAAAAATAATTAGTGAGTCTTTAAAAAAAATAAAAAATAAATTGAATTGTGTACCTCTTCTCCAATAAGAGTGATGTTTGGATGAGTTTGTAAAGCACATTCTAATGTAATGTGGGAAGCAGCACGTCACATAAGCCTTACAACTGCATACATACAATACAACCTTATAATTAGCAACCATGTGAATATTCCTATTTCCTTGGTCAAACGTTGACCAAATTTATTTTTTTATTTTTACAAATTATATGAAAATATAATATTCCAGATAATGAACTTACAGTGATAATATTTCCCTGTGGAACATGCATCTATCATAACATTTCCCGAAATCCCCCTGAAATACATTTAATAACAAAAGCATGATTGCTGGATATCTTTGGTCTGTGGAAAGACCGGAGCAAGTATACACCAAGTTAACACTTAACACAATTCACCATTCATTCTCCACAAACATTCAATTATTCAAACAATCTTAACATTCCCTTTTCAGAAACTGAAGATATCCCAGTTAAAGAAATAGAATCCACCATAAACACCCCCTTTACAGAACCTTTTATCACTTGAGGTAAAATGGTCAAGAAAAAAAGAAAAGAAACAGAAATTGTTGGTGTTGGTGATTTGACATGATGAACCTCCCAAGATAGGTGACAATTCTTTAGTAGCAACTTCTCCTCATGTTTGAATTTGTAATGAAAATGTTAAGAGGTTCTGAATCAAATGTATAGGATTATCCATAGATTTGAGCTTGCCTTTGCAATAGTATAAGCTGAGGGTCGAGCATTCACAGCAAGGGGACCTCTGCGAGGTGGCCATGTTGGTCTTCCACCACCAAATCATCTTCCTTGACCTCGACCACCACCACCACCACGAGCCCTACCTCTCCCTCTATCTCTAATCTTCTTCAAATAGATTTTGGTGCGAGACTGGATCAGCTGCTGATGCAATCGTATACGAATCGACAAAATCAAGCAATTGAAAGAACTGTTATAGGATCGCTGGTGATCTAGGGTTCGAGCATGAGAAAGAAATAGGGTTCGAGCATGAGAAAGAACTGTTATAGAGATGTAGCAAGGTACGAGGTGAGATCTAGGGTTCGAGCATGAGAAAGAACTGTTATAGGATCGCTGGTGATTGGATTTCATTGGAGGGTGGAGATGCAGAAGAGAGAACACGCAGTAGAGAAAGGCGGGGCAAGTTCTTCACAAAAAGCCCTAGCTCCGATTGGATTCTGGCATCGACGAGGCCTTTGACGCCGGTTTTTGTTTGGTCGAAAGCTTTGAGCTCTGATTGTCGATCGTAGCTTGAGCCCGCTCAAGCAATGTTGGCAGCCATTTTGGTGAAGATGATTGTGTTATATATGCGAAGGTATTCTCTAGAAAGGTGAGAGAGCATCCTTGCAGTTGTGGCCCTATGAACGTAAAGTGTTTGATTTCTTGTGAGAAATGAAGCGATAGAGATCGATCTATGGAGGATGTGGGTCGTTCTTTGAGGGATGAAAAAACCCTAGTTTCTTAGACTTTTTGAGTACGGGGTTTTCTAAATTTTAGATTCCCGCGAGGTATTAAGGATGGAACACGATGTTTGATGAGATCGATAAGGAGGTCAGGAGTGGCGGGGAAGCGGATCAAAGAGGAGAGAGAAGGAGGGAGCGAGAGGGGAGAAGATGAAAGATAGAAAGAAGGTAGAAGACGACTTTTCAAAATTTTGGGGATTTCGTTTCCCACCTCTACTAAATGCGCCTTTTCATTAAAATTATAAAGCGACAAATATAGAGGACGCACCTTTAAAATAAAGCGCCCTCCGTGTTTTTAGTTTTTTTTCGTGAGACACTAATTTAAGGGCACTCAGTAATGCGCGACCTAAATTCTTAAATTTTTTGAAGAGATGACTCTTTTTTAATGTCGCTCTCTAATGCGTAACATAAATCAAAGAGCGTCGTGTTTTGCACGTCGTAAAAGGCTGTTTTTCTAGTAGTGGGCAGATACATACCAGAACCTTTAAATAAACCTGATGGCTTCAACGTGGCAAGTACCAGTGGAACAAAAGATGTCCCTCAAGAGAAAGAAATTCCTGCAAAAGAAGTCATATCTCCAAGTGAAACAACATCGGTTCAGAGTGGATCAACCAATGAAAATCAAAAACATAAAGCTAACATCCATCATCAACCAAAGCAGATGAGAAGTCAAAAACGGGAAAGGAATCAGAGATACAGGAAGAATCTCTCAAAAAGAAAACAATTTTGGCAATCGCAAAATGCCTATTTCTCACATCAAGATAGGAATTTAAAACCAGCGAAAAATCCTGTTGGATCGACGGAGAGAAACGACAACCGAAAGCGGAGTCTCGGTTCTGAGCAGAACAACAACCGAAAGCAGAGGTTCGGTTCAGAGCACAATGACAACCGAAAGTAGAAGTTCGGTTCAGAGCACAATGACAACCGAAAGCTGAGGCTCGGTTCTGAGCAAAACAACAACCAAAAGTAGAGGTTCGGCTCAGAGCATAACAACAACCGAACGCATAGATTCGGTTCAGAGAATGATTTCAACCGAAAGCACAGGTTTGGTTCGGGAATCAAAAGAGATCAAAACTCTAAAGTTGGTCCTACCGTTAATCAAAAGCAAAAGAGTCACCTAGAATCTTCAATCAAGAAGTCATACCGTTCTGAGCTATCTCATTCTAACTCTTCTAACTCTTCAAAATCCTCTGTCTCTTCTCGTCCTAAAGTCCACTCTGTTTCTTCTCAAAAATCTCAGTCATCAGCTGAACAAAAAGGAAAACAGAAGGTTTCAGATATTGAATCAGAATCAATACCAAAACCATTAAATCCAAATAAAATCAAAGTTTTCACCATCAAAAGAAAAGATGAAACAACACTAATAAAAGGAACATATGTAGTTGACATCTCTCTTACTATTCTAGTAAAAAGCTCACGAGGACCCAAGACGCTCTGGGTTCCTAAATCTGCTTAATTTTTGCAGGTTATCAGTGACGAGCAGTATGACGAAGAATGGTACATTGATAGTGGCTGCTCGCGTCACATGACAGGGAGGAAGGAAGAACTAAGGGAATTCAGATCTCTTTCAAATGGTGGAAATGTCAAATTTGGGAACAATTCCTTCGGAACCATCAAAGGCTACGGGATGATTACAAACCGTGATTTCTCAATCAGGAAAGTTGCATATGTAGAGGGACTACAACACAATCTCATCAGTGTATCTCAGCTTGTTGGAGGTACTGGTCTCAAGGTCTCATTCGATGATGAAGGTTCAGAAATTATTGAGAAGAAGACGAACAAAGTTATTCTCACATCAGAGCGCAAAGGTGAAATGTGTCCCCTAAATCTCAAACCAATCAAAGGAAACCCAGCCATCTGCCTATTATCCAAAGCACAATCTGACGAAAGCTGGCTATGGCACCGAAGACTCTCTCATCTCAACTTCAAAGATATCAACAAACTTGTCACTGGAGGTTATGTTAGGGGTCTTCCATTGCTCAAGTATGACAGAGATCATCTATGTGCTACATGTGAAATGGGGAAGCAGAGTCGTCAAAGTCATCCATCTATATAAAACACTAAAGTCGTTGAACCACTAGAATTACTTCATATTGATTTATGTGGTCCATCTTCTATAGAAAGCATTGGTGGTAGCAAGTGTATTCTTGTTATTATTGATGACTTTTCACGTTTTACATGGGTGTTCTTTCGGAAGCTTAAATCTGAAGCGGCTCACAAGCTAAAAGTGTTCATCAAGCAGATTGAAGTACAGCTGAAGAAGGTCGTTCGCAACATCAGAAGCGACAATGGGTTGGAGTTCAAAAATAAAGAATTTGAAGAATTCCTGGAAGAAAAGGGAATCAGTCACAACTTCTCAGCTCCCTACACACCTCAACAGAACGGAATTGTTGAAAGACGAAACCGATCCTTATGTGAAGTTGCCCGAACAATGCTAAGTTTCGCTTCCTTACCTTTATATTTTTGGGCTGATGCTATTTCTGCTGCTTGTTTTACACAGAACAGGTCGTATCTTAACAAGCGCTTCACTCTCACTCCTTATGAGATCATCAACAACAGGAAGCCAAATGTGAAGTTTTTCCATGTGTTCGGTTCCAGGTGTTTCATTTTCAATTCCAAAGAACACCGCAACAAGTTTGATGTCAAAGCTGACGAAGGGATATTTCTGGGTTATTCTCTTACTTCCAAAGCATACAGGGTGTTAAACAAGCGTTCAAGGAAGATAGAAGAAACTTACTACATGACTTTTGATGATAGCTATGTTAAAAAGCTAAAGGCCAACGAAGACACAGCTGGAGAAATCTTTCCTCAAACTGGCCAAGTCACAGCCTCGATCACTAATCTATTCGAGAAATTCATGGAGCTGTTTGATGAACCAGAGAAGGCCACTCTTTCTGAAGCCAGTGCAGCAGACAACAGGGTAGATCACTTGAAGCAACTTATTGACGATGCTGCAAGAAGAATGAATGAAGAAGAATCGAGTTCACAAGACCCTCCCCAACACAATGCGTCAGTCGAGGGGGAGTGGTCACCATTAGTCGAGGGGGAGTGTCCACCATCAGTTGAGGGGGAGGATCCACCTTCATCCCAGCCAAGTTCACAAGTTGAGGGGGAGCTAAGGTCTCACCCTTCAACCGAAAGTGCCTCACCAACCGAGAGTGCCTCAACAACCGAGAGTGCCTCACCAACCGAGAGTGCCTCAACAACCGAGAGTGCCTCACCATCCGAAAGTGCCCCACCAACCGAAGGTACATCAACACTCTAAATTTCAACACCACAAGAAACCACTATAGCTTAGGAATTACAAGACATTCCTGTAAGATCATATGTCGAGGAGGAGCATGCTGATATGTCATACGACTTCGACAGTCTGTCCGAACCAGAAGAAATGATAAATGCTGAATTAGATCCATCTTTCGATCCAAACTTCCCTCCTCTCACCAAATGGACCAGAAATCATCTTGTCTCTCAAGTTGTTGGTTATATCTCAGAAACAGTTCTGACTCGATCACAACTCAAGGCAAAACAAGCATCCTTGTTCTCAAAAGTCGAATTCTGCATGTTTAACTCATTCGTATCAAAAGTTAAACCAAAGACAGTTAAAACTACTCTTGATCACTCCGATTGGGTTCAAGCTATGCAAGACGAACTGAATGAATTTGAAAGGAACAAGGTCTGGTGTCTTATTCCAACTCCTCCACATGCCTCAGTTGTTGGTCTCAAATGGGTCTTTAGGAACAAACTTGACAAGGAAGGGAACGTTATAAGAAACAAAGCACGTCTGGTCGTAAAAGGATACTCTCAGGAGGAAGGCATTGACTATGAAGAGACTTTCGCTCCTGTAGCTAGGCTAGAATCAGTGAGAATATTTCTTGCCTATGATGCTCACAAAAACTTTGAGGTCTTTCAAATGGACGTCAAGTGTGCTTTTCTCAATGGCGATCTCGAAAAACTATGTATGTGGAGCAACCTCCTGGATTCGTGAATGAAAAGTATCCCGATCATTGTTACATTTTGGATAAAGCCGTGTATGGTCTGAAACAAGCACCGAGAGCCTGGTATGAAACGCTGACTAAATTTTTAAAGATGTCCAAATTCAAACAAGGTTCGGTTGACCCAACCTTCTTTCGCAAAAAGGAAGGTAACCACCTTATGATCATTCAAATTTATGTCGATGATATCATCTTTGGCTCCACGAATCCTAGCTTAACAGCTGAATTCAGAAAGCTGATGGAGACTAAATTTGAAATGAGCTCGATGGGTCCCATTAACTTTTATCTTGGTTTAAATATCAGACAGGGACCTGAAGGCATCTTTATCAACTAGGAAGCTTACACAAAGAATCTCTTAGCGAAATTTGGCATGATGGGTGATTCAAAGGTCAAAGTCCCAATGGCGTTCGGCACTAAGCTCACTCCATCCCTAGATAAACCAGCTGTTGATCTTACACTTAATCATCAAATGATAGGCTCTCTAATGTATCTTACTGCTAGCAGACCTGACATAATGTTTTCTGTTTGTTACTGTGCTCGGTTTTAGGCAAATCCACGGGAGCCTCACACGCTTGCAGTAAAGAACATATTTCGTTATCTCAAGAGAACTACCTCTTTGGGTTTGTGGTACCCTTCT